ATAATGATGAGGACGTTTTAAGCTATGAAACTTGCAGAATGTTTTAATGGTACAAAGACCTCTTATATGCCAAAAGATCAATGCAAATTTGATTTCACATGTCATGACCCCTATAAGACGTCATAAGCGAATGGCCCATTTATATAGACTAAATATTTTTTTGTGCAATTTCATATCTTAATGCTCTATTATAGTGGTCAAACGATACAATTTATTGAGGCATTATCCGATGCAGAGAATGGGATGGCCGATAAAATAGTGATATGTATGTGATGAGAACTAAATGAGATATATGTGACCCTGGACCACAAAACCAGTCTTAAGTTGCATGGGGATTTTTGTAGCAATAGCCAAAAATACATTGTATGGGTCAAAATTATAGATTCTTGTATGCCAAAAATCATTAGGAAAGATCATGTTCCATGAAGATATTTTGTACATTTCCTACCATAAATATATCAAACTTAATTTTTGCGTTGTAATATGCATTGCTAAGCACTTCATTTGGACAACTTTAAAGGCGATTTTCTCAATATTTAGATTTTTTTTGCATGCTCAGATTCCAGATTTTCAAATAGTTGTATCTCAGCCAAATATTGTAAATAGCTTATTTATTCAGCTTTCAGATGACGTATAAATCTCAATTTTGAAAAATTGACACTTGAGACTGGTTTTGTGGTCCAGGGTCACATATGCTGAAATTACACAAAGATTTTAACACAATATTTACTTGATATTTACAGGTATACTGCAAACATTTGATATTAGAACATAAATTATCCAATGACAAGGCTAATTATAAAAGAATGTTAATGCTTCTGTCTAAGCCAAACTTACGATAATCTCAAAATGGCCAATTGTCTTCCGATATAGAATTTCAAATTCAACTTCATGTCAGTCCAAACTCATATGACTTCCTTTCTTTTGTGGAACACCATCTGCTGTCAAGTTCCACAAAAGCCATAAAAGCATCATAAACGTAGTCCATGTGTGCAGTATTTTATATCGGAAGTCATAGAATAGCTTTGTATGAGTCACGAGCTAAAATTTAAGTCATTATTCATTGAAAGTGACATGGTGACAGCCTTGGTCACCATTCACTTTCATTGTATGGCAATGTGCACACTCTACCAAACATCTCATTTTAGTTTTTTATGGAAAGGGTGAGTAAAAAAATAACCAAATTTAAATTTTGAAGTGAAATATTCCTTAAAGGTTAACTGTCTTAACCTCAACAAGCATTAACCTGAGTGGGACCCATTGTAGTATATAGTGCAATACTTACAAATAGTGTTGTGTGTGTGTGTGTGTTTGTGGGGGTACTAAAGAACCCATACCTGGAGGGCTTTCATTTTCTGGTTGTTCTGGTTGGAGAGGGTCTGGAAGCGGGCCAGCTCTGCCTGGCTGTAGATGCTGCGGTGTTTGAAGTATTTTAAAGAAATTATTCCGAGTATACTGGAAAAAAAAAAAATGAGAGCGAGAGTGTGTGTGTGAGAGAGAGAGAGATTAGAGAAGAAAGAAAGAAAGAAAGAAAGCATGCTGCTCTCTTTATTATTTGTGCAATTTTCCAGAAAAAAAGGGGGTTTCAATTCAGAGGGATGTCGTCCCTTGTTTCGCCCCATCTCTTTCTCTCTTCCTTTAAGCTTATCATTGCTTGGCAATGTGTTCTTCGGAGCATGAAAAAACTAAAGCGAATTAGCTCAGCCTTTAACTGAACGAGTACAAAAAATTTCCTTTATGGAGCTGTGTCAAAACCTGTACTATCCTATTAATGCTACAAGTAACAATAGTTAAAATATACTGTAGAAAGATGTCGTCAAAAAACAATGATATCAGAAAGGCGCCAGGCAAAGTGATGCAAGATACTATCCTCATCCGTGCCTTCTGTTGTCTGTACAGTATCTGTGCTCGTGTAACAACTCGACTTGGCATGTCTGAGATGTATACAATGCAATTTCTGTTAGGCCTTGAGGGTTACCTTTTGTTTACAAGCACTAAAGTGATTCTGGAAGTTTAGGTAGGCCCATGGGTTGTACATTTAACCACTGCAAGGGGGCGCTCTAGCTCTCCTATTCAGACTAAACTGGCAAATCCAACTAAACTGGCAAAATGCCACTGTATATGTTAACCTGTATTATATATAAAAGTGATCTGTTGAGATTAAGGACATAGTTGCAGTGTCCATTATAGCAGTTATGCTACACTCTTAAAAATAAAGGTGCTTCACGATGCCATAGAAGAACCTTTTTGTCTAAATGGTTCCATAAAGAACCTTAATATATTTGGAGCTACAGTCAACTGATAAAAGTGCAAAACAAAGAAGTTTGTCAGCATAACAAAGGATGCCACATAAATAATTAAACACCATCTGTCACTAGCACATTAATGCAGATATTTAGACTCCTTTTATAGCATTTTTTAGCTGTAAAAAAGAATGAAAAATATAATAGTTAAATGGTAACTGCAATTTAACTAGCACTTTAGTACCAAATAAAACAGCATAAAATGTTAAATATAATGGTAATTATGAAAACAACTGTATTAAGTGTCATTGCATTGTACTCTACTCATTGACCTATTTAATTCCCACTTTTAATTATACATCATATATTATATTTTTGCCATATAATTAAAAGTGGGAAGGTCAGTAAGTATTATTATACTTTTTTGTTTTCTGTTGTGGATTTTTTTTTTTAAATCTTACTTGGGCAATGAAGTAAATTCTAATTCTAATGCATATAAATTGCATACTGAACTAATCAGATAGCAAGTCGTCACTAATATATAGCCACATAAACAGTGCTTGGAAACACCATCTGAATCTATCTCTCTTGATAAATGTGGTGCCACAATTTCATACATATGGAGCAGGTGTTTTAATAGACATCTGATAAATATACATTCTATTCAAACTATTCCTAATAGACACCTTATACATACTCGGCATGGCATGGAAAACCTTTCAAAAATGGTAAGCCGTCATAAGAATCCATATTAAATTGAGCACAGCTCGGCCTATGTGTCCTTACAGGTACGTATGGAACTTTAAGAAGAGCTTGTCGTAAACCTCTAAGAAATGCAACTACATCTGCTCTGAAGGAGAGAAAGCCGTACCAGACTTAAAATAAACAACAAACTGTAAAAAGGCTGAATACTGAGTAAAAGAAAATCAGGCTTTGATCATGAGCGTGGAGAATCCCGTCCACAGGATTTGCCTTTTGCATGCATTTCTCACTTGATAACATTCATGTAGTTAGATGAGGAGTTGTACGAGTATTAGTCTTTTGGGGAACAAACAATGTGTCTTGCTCTTCAGTAGAGTTTTACCATCAGCGCTAGAATAACAAATCATATTAAAATTATCTACAGCTCAAAAAATGCTATATAAAGTGACAGATTATGTCTAGATCAGTATAACTAGTAATAATCTCAAGCAACAACAATGGTACTATTACAATAACGATCTGTGGACTAATGTCACAAAGACACAAAGCTTTAAAGCTGAAGTGTGCAATTTGTTTTGGTTTAAATACTTTCTCCAATCTTAGCTTAATATGCAGACAACTGTAAGTCAGCCATTTATAGGTCGATTGTTACAAAAAAATATAAACATTCAAATTGCTGAGAATCAGCATGAATTTATTTACTGTAAAAAAAAAAAAGGCCAGCTGTGGAACAAGCAATATTCAATTAGTTAAAATATATGAGATATTGGATTTATTCATGCTAAATATATAAACCTGGGTATTGTGTATTTAAAGAGGTCCTATTATGCTTTTTCACTTTTTGAATTTTAGTCAGTGTGTGGTGTGTATTTTTGGGCATAAAAAAGATCTACAAAGTTACAAATCTCAAAGTCCACTCCAAAGGGAAATATTTCGTTTTTTATAAATTACCTTTTTAAGAACTACACCGAACGGCTCGTTTGGACTACAACGTTGTTTTCCGGGGTTTTTGTGATGTCACAAAGCGGTCCATTAGAATATCATTAAAATAAATCCCGCCTACCTGCTGCTGTAGCCTCAAGTTTTCGAGCGGGCCTTCATCAAACATGGAACTAATCGAGCCGTTTGTGCCAGGCTGGGGAGAAAGGTATTGTAAATTATGTGAAAAATAATGCGTTTTTCGAACCACCAAACATGAGAGCATGTTCTAGTACACCTCCAAAACAAAATCAAGACTTTGTAAAAGAGCATAATAGGACCCCTTTAAAATACATTAACTTTATTAGTATTATTACTGAAATCTTACCGGTTCCATTAATGTATGACTGACAAATATGCATCACATTAAGTTTATTCATTTTCCAGTTAGGTTAAAACTGTGCAATCCAAAAGGATGGAAATTTTATATGCAATTCAAATACTTAAGACTAAATATTTTTGAGTACACTAACTCCTGTTTGTGCATCGCAACCAAACTATGTTCCACCAATGGCAAATGAGGGAAACCTGTTCGAACACAGTCATTATTTTTACAGTTCTTTTACATGGCATAGAAATTACACTCTTCAGCTTCTTCAGCAGCACCTGAAAACATCTTTACATTGATAAGTGTTTGTTGCTATACCAAAATACACAGCCAAAAACACACTTATATAATGTTGTTTGGAAATGACTAATGCACTGCACTCCATAGGTACACACTGCACTTGCACACTGCAGCGTTGATGAATACCAGCAAAACCACCCATCCTTTAGTGATGGACGTACATGTCATATTAGCATTTTCCCAAACGTTCCTGAGATGCTGGTTTTTGAGAGCGTTTACATCTGCTATGTGCCTGTTTCCACTCGCTGCCATGTGAGATGGAATAAACACACATGCACGCCAGAGCAACGCTGTCATGAAGCTTATCTCATCGTGATTAGATTACTGCAGTGGCTTCCTAGCTGACTGCCCAACTAAAACCAACCACCTATGACAGGCTGCATGGAGCATGCAAGCATACGCTAGTCCGCGCAGACCTCTCTCTCATCACTATTTTGCATGCCTGCTGTCTATCTCTGATGACAAAGATAGACAACCACATCATTCACACATGCAGAAAATAGCCTTGATGTATACACATACGGAAGGAGCCGCAGAGAAAGAAATGTGTTTGTGGTAATGAGAGTTACCTGCTTGTGATCTTGGATGTAGGCCTCTGCTCTGTTTCTTCTGTCAAAAACATAAACGGCTTCTTGTCTGGCAATCATCAGAGCTTTCTGCAGCTCGTGATACTCCTGCGCTAACTTCAGATTGTCTTTTAGGGCTTCCTGTAGATTAACCTGGAACAGATTTGCACAGGATGCTCTCCATCAGCTTCTGAGAGACTCTAACATGTATAATGAAAAGATACCATTAAAAAGTAGGACAAAGAATGAACAGTGAGCCCTATTTGAAAAGAATATTTCACCCAAAAATTGTAAACACATTTGTGTCATCCCAAACCTGCATGGCTTTCAAATTATTTCAAAAAGATATTCAAGAAGAGACGTACTTTTCTATGCAATTACAATGAATCAGGGCTGAAGCTTCATTAAAGGACACAAAAGCTGATTAAATGACTTATGCACTATATTTCAACTGTTCTGAAGTCTGAAGAGGAACAGACCAAAATTTAAGTTATTCACTGATAATCTTGCCCTCCAGTGGGCTGTTAACCTCTGTCACCGGATCATCGAGTCAGTGAGTTGAACTTGAGAACTGGATTAGTCCGATTCATGAACAAATCATTCAGTTTTGTGAACTGGATCAACTGATTCATTAAAAACATCGGATTCAAAAGAACGATTAGATCATGACTAGACATTGCAACTTTCATCATGAACTCGCATGAATGTACCAAAGGCACTTAAATTTAGGTTTATTTCCCACTTTTATGATACGCTGTAAAAAAAAAAGTAAATGTTTTGAAACTAAGTCTTTCTGCTTCAAAATTTCACTTTTAATTCAATGCGTTACTTGCTGTTTCTTTGTGATTAATTGTGAAATTTACTAGCAATGAATATTGTTTCTACACCATTTTTTACTACACCATTTGCAGTACTTCTGCATTATCTGAACAACCTGCAGACTGATTTCCCATTTACTTTTGGCAGACCTTTTATCCAAAGCGACTACTTCAATCATTTTATCAATATGCACAATCCCTGGGATTCAAACCCACAACTTTGCACAACCTTCACATTTCACTTTGGGACCAGTTGGTGGACAGTAATTGCAAAAAATGGCAACAAAATTACAGTAGTTTGGTGAAAGACAGCATTTGAATTAGGTTTTATTTTTAGCTTTAATTTATTTTAATATTTATTGTAATTGTAACAATTTTGCTGTGCTTTTATCATTTTCATTAGTCTTTATTTTTAAATATCACTAATTAGTTTTAATTATTTTTATTTCAGTTTTAGTTTTTATTTATTTCAAGTTAGTAATTTTAGGTCTTCAACTTACCTACTCAAGGCAACATTTTATTTATATTTATATTAGATCAATATATATATATATATATATATATATATATTCCATCTAATATTTATATCTTATTTTAGCTTTAGTTCAATTATAAAAAATATTTTAAATAGTTTCAGTTTTAGTTAACGATAATAATCCTGCACAAAAGCACTTATTTTGATATTTTGTGCATGCAGTGCAGTAACTTTCAATAATTTTTCAGTGTTGCTTAGGTGTTCTCATATTTTGCATGTTTTACGCTAAAACGAATCCTCTTAGAATGCAGTAACTCTAGTAATCATACAGCACTTGAGGAAGTATGTAAACAAATTACGACAAATAAGTGTCTGATTTGCTTGTCTCCACAATCTCCACAACCCTGTGTCAGCATCGGAAACGTGGAGAGAGAGCTATGGAAAGAAAGATGGAGAGAGAAAGAGAAGAACATTTTCTGCTCTACCTGAGAATAAGGAATAATGAAGTGTGTCTGGGCAGTAAAACGACCCAGCGCTAAACTGATGAGTTTAACCCAGCACCGAGAGTGGCAGTAAACATGACAAATGTTGGCTATTGATTTAAAGCTTAATTACTGCATGCAGTGCTGACAAAACCCGTCTGATGCACCTCTGAAATGTAAACGGGACAAATTACACTTTATTGGCCATAAGAAACTGATGGTGTCTGCACTTTGCATCCTACTGCTTTTCTACTCACTGAGCGTCTGACTTCAAGTAAACACGCTACATGAGAATATGATGAGGGGAGAGAAAAAACCCAATTCAGTTTGTGAGGAAGTCACAGTGGAGTGTGTCCATAAGTGCAAGATACATTTAACGCATCTGGACTGATCGTGTAAGGAAATTCACAACTGTTTAAAATGTTACGAGGTTATAATCCGTGCTGTACAGTAAGTCAACGCAAAAAACCCTGTTTACTTGCTTTATTCACATTACTGGTCTTACTGAGATCAATTAATCGGTGCTAGTTATTCCAACCGGAAAAAACTATAATAAAAAAAATATATAATAATTTGTTGTTCCGCACTGCGCTTTTTTTTCATTGAATATTCACTCAGAAATGCTTTACACTATGGAAGTAAAATGTATTGTAAACACATGTGTAAGTGTAATTTGACATTGACCTTAATGGAGTGAGCAATGCAAAGGTCATGGCATTGATTCCCAAGGAATACACATGCGGATGAAACTGTTGCTTTGGATAAAAGCATCTGCCAAGTGCAGACAGATGGGACTGATGAAGATAAATTTATTTATTTGAATGCTATTCAATTTATTAATTTTTTAGAATTTAATAAATTCTAAAATAAAGAAAGGTCTAAAATCTGAAAATCAACCTATGAATAGCATATACAGTATATATATATAGAGAGAGAGAGAGAGAGAGAGAGAGAGAGAGAGCGAGAGCAAATTCAATTTATGTATATGTGTGTGTGTGTGTGTATGTATATGTAATCATCTTATGAATAGCATAAATTTAACAGCCTCTGATGTAAAATTTTTACTTAAATATTAAAAATTAAATATTTAAACATGATACTGTATATCTATCTATCTATCCATCCATCCATCCATCCATCCATCCATCTATACACACACACACACACACACACACAGATGTCCTCACTTTACAGATGTTCTCATTAAACATTCAGATGCAATAGCATCCAGTTGTTTTATTATTAGAAATTAACCCTTCCAATATGTATGTATATACAGGGAGGCTTCTTTGTTTCGAGAGAGAGAGAGAGAGAGAGAGAGAGCGAGAGCAAATTCAATTTATTTTTCTTAATCTACCACCAATTTGTTCTTTTCTTATTTTATGAAAGTGTTAATTTTCATATTTTAAGCATAAGCCTTACTAAATTTGCCTTATATGGAAGTCTGTTTCCACCTCAGACAAAAAAAAACATAAAAAAAAAAATAATAATAAAATAAAAAACAAAATAAAACAGGTAATTGTGAGAGAAATTTTGAAATAAGAAATAGTCATATTGTGAGATTGATACAGTGTAAGTACATGAAATAAAATTTCAATTAGGCAAAAAAAAATGTGTGAAATTCCAATTGTGAAAACTGAAGTTTAGTTAAATTAGAATGTTGCAATAAAAAAAAACAAAAAAACTTAACTATGAGAAATGACATTGCAAGTTATCTTTAAGCTTATGGTTTTATTTTTAATGTTCACTTCCATATAATCATGCCTTTTATGAACAAATCAAGAAAAAAATCTGTATCCAAAAAACAAAAAACCTTTTTCTAATAAGCGTATCCCTCTCATCTAAAACACATGACGCTGCGGTCGTCATCCGGTGTTGTGCGTCACTATCTATATTTCCTATGTTCATTAACATCTCATGACTGTGACGTCCCAACGATGCGCCTCAAGTCAATCGAAGGCACTCTGACACAGTCTCTCTTTGTTGGAAATGTTCAAAGTCGAATCGTTTCTGTTGGGTGATGAATCTTTGTGCTGCTTTATTGTTTCCTATGAGAAGTCTAAAGAGACTCTCTGCTCTGCTGCCCTGCAGCAAGTTAATGGCAGACTGGCTCTATGAGGGAGGACTTTTAATTCGGCTCCTGTCTCGCACCAACACTCATGAATAGCATAAATTCAATAGCCTCTGAACCTTAAAGGATTCGTAACGTTTGTACATCTTTAAAGTTGTTCATACATAAAACAGTTAGCATTTTTGATGTTATTAATACATTATTATTGTACATTTCCAAACATATGAAAATATATGTATGCTAGAACCACACTTATTGTGCATATAACTGCAGATATGATTAACATAAAGCTGCTGTCAACACAACCAATGACAAACAGTAGATAATACTGGACAAAAGGCTTTTTGTTATATATGTTTTGTTCTCAGTGTCTTGAAATATATCATTTGGTATCACTGGGTATTCCATAGAAATGACACGGTGCATCATCATACAAAGGAAATCTAAATATTTATAAAGGTAATTTCAGCTTGAATGGTGATTGGAGCACATCAAATCCCCTAACCTATCAAATGCACTCATGCTCGCTGACAGTCTCTCTTTGTTGGAAATGTTCAAAGTCGAATCGTTTCTGTTGGGTGATGAATCTTTGTGCTGCTTTATTGTTTCCTATGAGAAGTCTAAAGAGACTCTCTGCTCTGCTGCCCTGCAGCAAGTTAATGGCAGACTGGCTCTATGAGGGAGGACTTTTAATTCGGCTCCTGTCTCGCACCAACAACTTGTTTGGAGTGTAAATATGAAAGAAAGGGTTCTTAACCTCTGTGTCCTTCATGACATCCCGGCGTTGAGTGAACAGTGCTGAGTGAATCTGTGCGTGATGAGACTTCCTCTGTTTCCAGGAAGCTATATCCCTGTGCACGTTACCCATCACTACTGTGGCTGTCCCATGTTTGAACGCCATAGTGTCTGACAAACCCCTGAAAAAGACAACAAATAAAAACAAGCATGGAGGTCTAATATACAGTGGGTACGGAAAGTATTCAGACCCCCTTAAATTTTTCACTCTTTGTTATATTGCAGCCATTTGCTAATACGTGGGTTTCATGCAAAACATAACATATTATCTCTGACAGAAAATTATAAGAGCTTTCATCAAATGATTAGAGGAAATGTTAGTAGAGGTGTGATACTGAGTGGCGGATATTCTGGAGCAAAGGTGCAATACGATTTGCTTTACTTGAAACATTAGGGATTTAAATTGTGGATATCAGAAGACACACAAACAGACAATATTAATGTACTGACAGTGTTTAAAAAAAATAAACACTTGTTCGCATGTACAACTTTAGGAATGAAATTGCGGAAATCTTCGTGAATTCAACTGAATTCAATACACAAGTGACACAATCCTATAGGGGGAAATTTGGTCCAAGAAAGACTGTTTAATTTCAAATGTATTTATAAATGAAATACTGGTGGGACTAATGAAGGCAAATTCATTTGTACTATTTATATGGACTAATTTAATTATCTTAAAAAAAAAAAAATTAAGCAGTAAATCAGGAGTTTATTGAGGCAAAAGTCATAGTTAGTGGTTTGTTAATGCCAAGAATTGGACCTCAAAATAAAGTGTGACTGACATTTATAACTCATCAAGTATAACAAATCAAGTATAATTTAATTTTCACCTTCACAGAATTAAAACATTCCTGATAGTGCTTCTTTTTCTTCTCAAAATCATCAGAGAGGCTTCTGTGTGCAGTGTGCATGTCTCTTAGTTTGGCTTTCAAGTTTTCAGGCCACAAACAACATCATAAAACACAGTCCGTCCCCCGAGATCCACACCACGATGTACAGCAGCCTGCTCACAAAAATACTTGCACAGCATTCAGCAAATTTCACAACTGGAAATGAAAATGCTCTAAATACAGTAGGCCTATGTGACATCCAACTGATTACACAAGATGTGCCAAATCAAAGATTAATTACTGCAATAGTTATGACACAATGCTTAAAGTTTAGTTCAGAATGCATTACATTAACAACAAGCTGCCTGATTCTTGTAAAAACTCAAGCATTTACACAAAATTTAACAAACTGCAGTTTGTTTACAGCAATATCAGTTAAACAATAAGGTATTTTTAGCAGCTTTCCTCACCTAATTATTTTATGAAGCAAGCCAACTACAGCATTCAAATTCAAAATACTTCTATTAAAACTTAATACCAAAATAAATATAAATACACTGAACAAAATTATAAACGCAACACTTTTGTTTTTGCCCTCATTTTTCATGAGCTATATATATATACACACACACACACATATATATACATACATACATATATATATTTATACACACACACACACACACATACATTCATACACATATATATATATATATACACATACACACTTTTATTGTTTTTTTAAAAAGAATTTTTAAATTGTTTTTATGCTTGCTTTTTAAATGAAATAAAAATAAACAAAAAACTTCAGTATCTTTTGGTAAATAACAAAATACAACTATGCAGTTTTTTTTATTTACATATAATTGGGCCTATACAGTTCATGGTATTATCCATGAATTTCAATGTTTGATTTTCCACCTTATTTTTAACATAATGTGTGTCAACGGCTTCCAGTTGTTTTCATTATACAAAAACAGCCCATTATGCTGCTTCATACTGCAAACTGCTATTACCGTAATCATAAACATGCTAATTTGTAACATGAATTGGTTATTTTTCTAGTTATTTACCTGTAGCAGCTAAGTCTCGGCTTCTGAATCAGAAGTCTTGCACATTCACAGAAAATAGCTCACATCCACATTGCAAAATAAGGTGGATAAGGTATTTCTTGTGTTCTAAATCATTGTGCTAGTTCATGCTGTGGTGCTGCTTCACAGCATTTTAATTTCAGAAGCAATGCCACACACACCTACACATTTTTAATGAAGTGGAATTAGAGTTGTTGCATGATTTCATGACATGATCTGCGGAACACAGATTCCGTGTTGATAATTAAAGAATCCAACACTCACACAACAGACCAATGAACCACAAGACATTTCCAGCACATTTCTCGTAGTGTTGTCATTTGAGTCTCCATCTCCAACATGGAATCTAATGCTGATCCATAAGTTCTGTATCAAGTTGGGAAGAATCACTATTGTATATCCAGATTTTATTCCATGTCATAGTTTCTCATGATGTGTTACAGATTCAACTGAACGGTAATACATGAACAGCACTATTGGCTTGTGTGCGAAAACATATGGTCTTCATAGATCTTATGGAGGCAACATCATTTGTTGTTGCTGTACCATGGACAATTTAGGGGAAGCAGCAACAGTGGAATGTTTTTCATTTGGATCGATTTCATTTTCTGCAGTTCTATGAAAATTCTATTTGTTTTACTTCTTGTTGTCCGATAAAATGAGGTTATTGTGCTTGAAATTTGGACTGTATAGTGAGTATAAGACATTGTTGATTGCAGTTTACCACAGTTCATCACCCTTTTTAATATCACCAGGATTTTACAATAAAATACTATATTCAGAATTTTACTGTGGAAAAAAATGCACACTATGCCATTTTCTGTCACAACATAACAAATTACTGCAAAACACAGCAGACACAGCTAATCATTAGTGACAATCACCAGTATACAGAAATATACTTTAAAGGGATTGTTCACCCAAAAATGAAAATCCTGTCATTAATTACTCACCCTTATGTCATTTCAAACCCGTGAGAGCTTAGTTCATCTTCAGAACACAAATTAAGGTATTTTTGATTAAATCCGAGAGCTTTCTGACCCTGCATAGACAGCAATGCAACTGACACGTTCAAGGCCCAGAAAGGTAGTGAGGACATTGTTAAAATAGTCCATGTGGCATCAGTGGTTCAATCATAATGTTATGAAGCTACGAGAATACTTTTTGTGTGCAAAGAAAACAAAAATAATGACTTTATTCAATGATTTCTTCTCTTCCGTGTCGGTCTTCAATGCGCGTTCATGAGAGTACCATGACGCATGCTACCTTTCTGGGTCTTGGAACGCGGTCGTTGCGTTGCGGTCTATGCAGGGTCAGAAAGCTCTCGGATTTCATCAAAAATAACTTAATTTGTGCTCCGAAGTTGAGCGAAGGTCTTACGGGTTTGGAATGACATGAGTAATTAAAGGGTTAGTTCACCCAAAAATTAAAATTAGGCTGTGTTTTACTCACCCCAGAGCCATCCTAGGTGTATATGACTTTCTTCTTTCAGACGAATCCAGTCGGAGTTAGATTAAAAATTGTCCTGGCTATTCCAAGCTCTATCATTGCAGTCAGCGGGTGTTGCGGTGCTTCAGTCCAAAAGAAGTGAAATAAAAACACCCATCCATAAAAAAAATTTGTCTCACACAGCTCCGGGGTGGGGGGGTTTGAACAAAGGCCTCCATATTCAAAACGCTCACTGTTGTACACTGGAAGCAGTTCCGGGCGGATGACGTATGAGGTCGGCTTTGCGCATGTGCCGGTGAGTCTCGTGAACATTTTTCATATTTGGGTGAACTATCCCTTTAAATTAAAAAATGTTGTGTAATCTTAAGTTTATATGGGACAAACCTTTGGTAGATCTTTCTCTTGTAGTCTTCAATTTCCAGTTTGTGCTCTTTGTTTTTGTCTCGCAGGGTCAATAAGTCATATCGCTTTTGGCTTATGTTTGCATTCAACACAGACACCTTTTCATCACCTTCAAGTTTCTGATAAACACAGTAATGCCCATTATTTGCATTTGTTTACTAGATATATGCTAATATGTACTTTTTCATAGCCAAGTCTTTATTTGGAGGCTAAATTCAACCACATTCACATGTAGTGCACAAAATGAAAGGCTAGCCACACATAAAAGATCATATTTTTAAGCATCTTTGCTTATATAAAGTTCCACTGATTGTTCTAGCACATAAACATATTTTCAAATATTTCTTATTTCAAAACTATAACTGTCATATGTCAAACATTTATGACAGTTAAACATCACATAGCACCACCTACGGTCAAAGCAAGTTTCGTTATTTTGGAAAGTTTTTGAAACTCTTGTTGTGGCAGAACAACATCAAAAATGCACAAAATACAAATTTAAAAAGGAATAAACAAACTGCTAAAGAAACAAGTGAGCACTCTGCGGCTCGTTCACTCAAGCGTTGTGTAATTGTGAAATCAGGGCTTAGACAAAATGGAGGCTCTAAGAGAATAAACACGGCAGATCAGTGCAAGGAATCGTGGGCCTTTCCTGCCCTCCAGAGGACGTGAGGGTTGACATCTCCAGCACGGCACATAATTTCACCTCTGATTTATATCATCTCAAATAACAGCCTGTTATACTTACAGATGTTTGTATTTGGTTTTGAAGCAGCATTACATCGTTCTTCTTTATCATCAATTTCTCTTCTTTATCATTTTTTTCAGCTTTTAATGTTCTGACCTAAAAAAAAGGCAAATTAAATTAATATTTAGCACAAAAGCTTTTTCAGGGGACTAATTTAAAATAATAAAAAAAAGGAATTAGCATGAGCTTATGATTGTTACAGTCAGAATATTCCAAAAATTGTTCATAATATTTATACAGATTTAAATATCCTGCAAACTGGTCGGTGAATGTACTCTAAATGAAAACTGACTTCTTCATTTGCGTCTGTTTCCTGCCTCTCAAACTGATGTGTCTTTTTCACCAAGGCTTTGATTTGGTCGTCTCTCAATGTTAGTTTTTCTATCGACTCTTTAATTTTCCTTTGAAACGCCTCACACTGTGACTGCAGCTGCTGTAACCCACTCCTGTAAGCAGAGAAAGAGAAATCATGTCATTCCCCCATATGTCCAAGCCTGATTCTAAGCTATGTTTTCCATATGAGACATTTATAAAAAGTCAACAATTTTGTGAAATAAAAGTGTGACGTAAATGTAGGTCAAAAGTATGGCATAAAATGTCCGGTGCAACCTTTAAATAAAGATAACATGAATTACAATTTGATTTACAGTAGAATGTGTTATAAAATGGTTGATTTTGCATAACATACATTTTTTGATATTGATATTATAACCTGCCTACACAGTGATGGATTGGAATTAAACTGTTAAGACGGAGAGAACAGCATTTTAGTGACACCTTCTGTCTGGATTGATATAACATGAGTGAACCAAAATAAAAATATAGGCCTTATGTCAGTATCCAGATGACAAAAAAAGGACTCACTGCTTGTCACTCAGATGATTTCTGATCGTTTCCATTTCTTTGTTCATTTCTCCTTTCCTAAGGTCTGCTCTGAATTCTTCTTTTTTAAACTCCTCCTGAAGACTCTTTAGTTTCTGAGAGATGTTTAAAAACATCTCACTGGCCTAGAGGAACATTTGTGACAATGTCTTTATGAATTAATATAACAGTCAGACAATTTATCATGGCAACACGGCTCAATAGTAAAAATTGCATCCCAAAATAGACAATGAGCTCCAAGGTTATTTAGCAGTTTTATATGCTTCTGTAGAAGTCAGTACTATTTGTTTTATTATTAATTATTATTATTATTTACTATTATTTTTTTAATAGTCAGTACTTATTTAATTTCCTTAAACAACTTTTACATTTGTATTTATCTAAATGTGTAGGAAAACATTTCAAATTTATTGTATTGTATTGCGTCATTACATCAGTCTTGTTATTGTAAACCAAAAGTAAAATGATTAAAAACTGTTTTAGTTAACTGAAAGCAGGAATAAAGTTAAATATTAAAATGAATATAAATATTAGGTGAAAACTTAAAATTAGGAAAATGTAGAAATGTTGCTTTGGCAACTACCTAAAATGACTAAAACTGAAACAAAAATAAAATAAAGCTAAATAAGAAACATTAATAAAATAATAAAAATGACAAAATCACATAATATTACTAAAACTTAAAATGTAATTTTAATCAATTGAATTAAAATTACATTTTAATATAAAAATAAACGAATTAAAAATATGAATAAGTTCTATAATAGTATATAAATAATACTAAAATAACACAGTGGGTAGTTCATTCACAAAAAATATAAGAACACTCTTTTTCCAATTTTAAAATACTTCAGTTTAGCACTCTTTATTGATGAATTCTTTGAAAACCCATGTATAGAGAAAATACATGGTCACTGTTGCGCTCCTCTAATACGTGCTGGACTCTTTTAGTTAGACGTACATCGCTTCTTCTCTTTGGTTTTGTCTTATTGATTTCAGGTCCTCTAAACAAGCCAACAAACAGGTTTCACAGTAAACACACCTCACTTTGTGCTGTTCGGATCTGCTTCATGATTTCACTCTCCAGCTGGAGTCTCTCGTGAACGAGCGGCCCGTGTTTCCTCATAAAATCGATATCCTCCTTCAGACGTTGGTTCAGCACCTCCGTGTGGGCCAGCCTGTCTCTCACCTGCGGCAACTGATCTCTCCTTATTTTCAGTTGCCACGTCAGCTTGGCGATGTCTGTGCTGCACGCTTCACGCTCTGACCGTGCAAATATAAGACAGACGGATGCAAAAAGTCAAGGATGGAGCAGAAAAGAGTTTATTTTGGTAATCAAACTTTTTTAAAGACCTTATAGCATAAGTTTTGTGGCGCTCAGTCCATGTCTGTTAGCTTGAGGTCATCTATATGCTCGTGTTCTCCTAAAAGTTGACAAAGTCATTTTTAAAAACATACACGTCTTACTTTTCCTGGAAAATGGACCAAAATATGGATGATCTGCTTCTTTGTAGAGTCAAATTTTTTTCATTAAAGGGTTAATTCACCCAAAAATGTATATCCTTCATTGGTAATGATGGAAATACAATTGACGGTAGCCAATGACGTCTGTTGTATTGGAAAAAAATACTATTGAGGTCAATGGCTACCAACTCAACTGTTTGGTCACCAACATTCTTCAGAATATCTTTTTTTGCACTCAATAGAAGAAAGAAACTAATTTGGAACAACTTAAGGGTGAGTAAATTCAAGTTTATTTTTATTTATATTATAAATGATGACAGAATTTTCATGTTTGGTGAACTATCCCTTTAAAATGCTATATATAATCTCCTCCCCCTAACAATAACCTAATAGTAATCATACTTTCCTAATTTAATCATTTAATTTACATAATTTAATTGTTATGCAAAAATAAAGCTTATTGGGTTTTTAAAAAAAGAAAGGGAGGATATTTTCATTATGCTGCCCCAACTTCCTGTCTCAATAGGAAATGTCAACAAAGCTGTGTTATTAATATACTATTTTACTATTTATTAATCTTAGTTGAATTAGTTTTAGTAATTTCATTGTGAGTGTTTATGTATTTTGATTAGTTTTTTTTTTATTAACTGTCTAGTTATGCAAAAATAAAGCTTATTGGGTTTTAAAAAAAAGAAAGGGAGGATATTTTCATTATGCTGCCCCAACTTCCTGTCTCAAAAGGAAATGTCAACAAAGCTGTGTTATTAATATACTATTTTACTATTTATTAATCTTAGTTGAATTAGTTTTAGTAATTTCATTGTGAGTGTTTATGTATTTTGATTAGTTTTTTTTTTATTAACTGTCTATTTAGCTTTTATTAACTTTTATTTTAGTAAACAAAAATGTTTAATTTTACCTTGATAACTAACTGAAATAAAATTAAGTTTTGTTTTTTTTTTGTATTTTATTGCCTTTTAACATTTACTTTACTTAAAGTAATATAAATTACTTTAGATTTAATTCATATTTAGCCATTTTTGTGTTTTGATTACCTTGCTGAATATTTTTGTACTGTACATTGTAACAGAATAGAATAGAATAGAGCAGAACAGAACACTAGACACTTTATTGCCACATTACTGGGCCTGATGTAAAATGTTAGTGCTGGAAAAAACTGTTTAACATAAATTGCATGTCATAATCAATATCCAGTCTTACCTTTCTGCATTGCTACAGGAAACTCATTCTGCTTCCAGAGACGGAGGCTGCCCAGTTTCTCTGAAAGTTTCTTTGCTTTTTCCTTTTCTTCCTGTAGAGCCTTCTCTGCATCTCTGCGGTCCAACTCAAGACGCTTGATCAAACTCATCACCTCCATCAGGACGTCTGTGGTCTCCGTCCAGAGAGACGTCAACACTCCACTGTCTATTTACAAATGAAGAAATGATTATTATTATTACTGTTAACTAAAAGTAAAACTAAAACTATTCAATCATTTTTGTTAATTGAAATAAAGCTAGAATAAAAACAAATGCACATATTAGATGAAAAACCTAAAATATAAACAAAAATTAGAAATGTTCCCTGGTCAACTAAGCTGAAGTATTAAAATTACTAAAACTAAAACTGAAATAATAATAAATTAGATAAATAGAAATAAAAAAAAAATAAAAAACAGAAAGCACAGCAAAATTACTAAAACGTCAACTAAAATAAAATGAGAACTGAAAATATAAAAATCTTAATAATATTAATAAATATTATAGTATATAAATAGGTATGTATTGAAGTATAATACTTAGTGATACAAGTGCATATTATAACCAAAATATTAAGGAGATTCAAGACTGTCCATCATTACCTTGTACATAAAGCCCCATGCCTTCAATACACAGCTCTGCATTTTTGCCATCAGCAGAAATACATCTAAAAACAAAAAGGAAAAATATGTTATTTCATCTGCACATTTTTTATAATATTAATAACTTAAACTATTAATTAGATTTAAATTATTTTCTGATGATATGTTAGAGCCCACATAGTACTATATAATAGGTATAAACTAGGGCTGCACAATAAATCGCATGCGATATTTAACGCGCATCTTGTCAGAAAAGCCGGTTCTGTAATCAGCGGTAAATCTCCATCACCTCCCATAAAAACGGCTGACCATACATGCTATCTTACTGGAAAAATGGTTACAACTGATGTACAGTGTGAGATGTGGAAAATCTATAATGCTTTATGGCTCACTTCCAAATGATACTGTGATGGTTTTCATGTGCAGTTTCATGCTGAGCATTATCACCCTAGAAGACAAGAGACATTCATTATTCATTCATTATGTAATATGAGAGCAAAGAAAATAACATGCGATTCAACCCATATAACTGTGAGCTCAATCTGGGTTTGATCTGTGTGGTACTGGTTTTATGGCTTGAATCATTGTGGTTGAGTCTTGGTCAGTGATGGTATAAAATAATACAATCCATCTTCGGGTTATGATTGATTCTACCTGCTGGCCCCAGTTTTCCAGTTTGGACTTCAGTTCCTGGATGTGAGACACTGCTTTGTTCACACATGGTGCTGGAGTGCTAACCAGAGCACAGCTGCGACGCCTGTTGGAGCTAACCATCTCTCCCTGCTCTGAAACGTACAACTGACTTTGATCATAGAGATCACGAAGATCTCACATTGAGTCATATATACTGTAACCTTAAAGGAATAGTTCACCCCAAAAAAATTTGAAGTTGCTTAAAATTTACTCATCCTCAGGCCATTCAAGATGTAGATGAGTTTGTTTCTTCATCAGAACAGATTTGGAGAAATGTAGCATTACATCACTTGCTCACCAATGGATCCTCTGCAGTGAATGGGTGCCATCAGAATGAAAGTCCAAACAGCTGATAAAAACATCACAATAATCCACAAGTAATCCACACCACTCCAGTCCATCAGTTAATGTCTTGTGAAGCAAAAAACTGCATGTTTATAAGCAACAAATCCATCATTAAGATGCTTTTTAACTTCAAAAGAGTCCTCTATTCATAATATTGCTTTCTCCAGTGAAAAAGCAGTCTCATCTGTATCAGGAGAGAAATATGCACAGATCAAACACCATTTACCAGCAAAACGAGGACAACAGGGGATGGACGTTTTTAACAAAGTGTTGTTATGGATTATGGACGTATTTTGGCAGCTTTTCACTTCACAAGATGTAAATTGATGGACTGGAGTGGTGTGGATTATTGTGATGTTTTTACCAGCTGTTTGGACTCTTATTCTGACGGCACCCATTCACTGCAGAGGATTCATTGGTGAGCAAGTGATGTAATGCTACATTTCTCCAAATCTGTTCCCATGAAGAAACAACCTCATCTACATCTTGGATGGCCTGAGGGTGAGTAAATTTTCATTTTTGGGTGAACTATTCCTTTAAAGGTCAACATAAAATGGCATGCACAATCCATTTTATATTAATAATCTGACATATTTTAGAGTGAAACAGCATTTAGAATAAAAAAGGGTGGGCTTTTTATCCAAGTGGACAATTATAGAAGATTGTGAAAACAATTTATTTTTTCATTTAGAATAACGTGCACAGATAAATTGTTCAAAATAAGACCAGAAAAATGCATTATTACAGTAAATAGATAGTTTTAATTTCTTGTTGTCTTTTGGGATGCTTTATTGTTAAACTCAACTTTGTTGAGTTTATGGTAAGTATTAATATCTATTTATTTGATATCCTGCATGTATGTGCTTCTATTTCTTTAGCCGTGACACAATAAGCACAATGGTTTGGGAATATATATCAAGACAAGGATCCCGATCCCTCTATACTTCATGCTTAGCAAATAACATTGATAAACAATATTGTACTTTACCTTGTAAGAATGCTCCTTCACTTGAAGGAAACTTGAGTAACTTCATGTCAGGCATCTCAAAAAACATCTATGAAAATCAAAATCAATGACTGAATGTATCAATCAATCAATCTACAAACACTGATTACATACTATTACAACCAATGCTTTTCTAAGCTTGATGATATCAAAATGCATTACTATGGTACTTTGATTTTTTGTTATTTTTTAAAAATGTAAAGATTTTTATGTGGTCAACAGTGGCTTTCTGTAGCATGATCATACATTGGTGCTGTGTCATTGACATTAATCAAAACAGCTCTTTAACCACCGTCTGCACAAAATAAATACTCTTATCTGAAGTTAATTAGTAATGAACGCAGGTTAAACATGGTTAATAGTCGCAAGTATCAGCTGACTACAGCAACACAACAGGTTTGACTGTGATTCACGCTCTCAATACTTACATTTGTCGCTGCTAAAGCGCAGAACGTTGAGCCATGAATGATATTTATTGTATTTTTGACCCATCAAGCGCGATATGATAAATGCTGACACATATCTCGGCGTTGTGTCCCGTCGCGGCCTGTTTCATACTTTGTTTCCAGCCCTCCCGCTTTCACCGTGCGCGCGTGGTTACTAGGCAACAGGGAGGCCTTCATTCACCGCTGACACAATAGACAAAACTGAGAAAGTGAAAAAAGCCTTTCAGGGTTGCGAAGGTCTCGATGTTGAATAGCGAATACAATCACGTATCACGTTAATTCAGGGTCTGGGTGATGAAAAGTTTTAGGACCATTGCGCCAGAGTGAAAAATTAAAATAAAAATAACAACCCAACAAAAATAAAAAATAAATAAAAAAATGGGATCAACTCTGCTATGTATATACACACATATACATAACATAGCAATTTGACTTTAAAAAACTACATGCGCAAGAGATTAAATAAGAGCACATTCTTGTTGTTGTGATATCTTTTTTAGTATTTTCCATATTTATAATACATAGATTTAATAAAAAAAAAACATTTGTCCCACAAAATTATTTGCTCATAACATTTTGCCACATCAAATCAAGAAAAACACATTTTACTAATATTTAGTAATATTTCCGCAGAGCACTGATGTTTTTTTAAATTAAATATTTTTTTTTAGCACTGATGGTTGTCTTCAGTGGAGAGATTCCGCATTACGTCATCGCGAGAGGCGCATTACGTCACATCAAAGCGAGTGAGCAGCAGAGGTCTGAGATCCGCGGCGCTCTCTGCGAGTCTGATGCGAACGAAAACAGACTTTTGTCTTCAAACGCCGAAATTGTCGTCGATAAAGCGCGTCGTTCTAGCGCAGATGGGCTTCAGTGAACGCACAGGAGCTGAATTGAAACCCGTTTTGGCGATGACAGGCGTTTGGTGAGTAGCAAGTGCACAGAGCTCCAGACGCCTCTCTTCATTGTGAACGCTCCACAGTCTACTACTAACAGGCACGATGCAGACTCTGCAAGTAAGATATTAGTAGTGTGTATCTGGAACATCATGTCCTAAATCATCGGCAGCAATGCCAGAATTATACTGTATGAATTTTGGGGATATATGTAATTATAAATTCTGCTTATTTCTTCATGCATAATCTATTTATATAATTACATGCATTTGGTTGAGGATTTTAAATGCAGAGAGCGTGTTGGTTTACTGTTTTAACTCATAAAATTCCCCTAGGTCAGTAAATACCTGTCTTACATATTGCCTTTACATTGTAAACATAAACATTGTTGGGATTTGATTTGCATTTTCTGTACTTTAAGTGAAATTTGAATAGTAAGACGTTTGGAAAATAGGTTATATTAGGGTGTCCATGCACAGAAAGTCAATCTGTGTTCATAAAAGTTATTTCTTAATTTGCTGTGCCATATAATGGTAAGAAAATAGACTGCATGTTGTTTTTGAAGTGCGTCATTATATTAATTCATCTATTAAAACAAATGGAGATGAGTGAGAAGACAACATTAGAAGGACTTTCCTGTAAACAGCTACATGTAAATCACAGTCTGAATGGGCTGGGAGACTTTACCCAGAGTTCTGTGCTGCTTCATGGCGGTACCATGACAATCAGAGCATACGGGCAGTTACTGTGTCTGATTGGTGGAAAAAGCAGTTAACTTGAGTAATGGTTCACTTTGCTGCGGATGGAGTTCTCATGAAATCCAATTCACAGCTTTCACAGCAGCCCAAGACAGGACTAAATGTGCAAAAGTAAACAAAATATATTTTAATTCAGACATTGGAATTGATTGATATTTCCATAAACGGCATTTTTAACTGCATATAAAATGCATAAATAATGGCAAAAATGTGAATTACTTAAAGGGATAGTTCACCCAAAAATGAAAATTTGATGTTGATAAATATATGTGTATTCACAATTTTAAATAGCTTATTTTATTGTTTTATATATATATATATATATATATATATATATATATACACAAATATATAACAATTAATATATATATATGATATAAATCTAAATAATATAAAAGCAAACATATATGTATGTATATATTCCATTTTAGCCTGTATTAATGTCAGCTTCGTCTGTTTCTCAAATAGATGCATTATGTGGTTTTGGAAAAATGCAATAGCATTAGCTGCTATCAGTTACTCCCACAGACGGTTTAATGCGAGTCATCCAGCACTAATTACTCGGTGAAGATACTCCAAACAGCTGCTTTATGTAGAACATGACTTTGTCCTCCAGGTCAGATCTGTACGTCTTATATGCCAACCGACGTCAAGGACGAGCCAAATCAAAAAGCACAATTTCAAGTTTTTCATTCAACCTGCCATGCTAAATAAATCACCCACAGATAGTGTTGAAAAATGGAGTCGGGCTCAAAATGCCTGGATGCCACCGACTGTCCAAAAAGGATATTTATAGGCTCGGAGATCCCAGAGCCACAATAAAAGGAGAAAGAGAGAGAGAGAAAAAGATTAGAAGACCGACTCTGTGAAATATGGGATCTCTCTAGAAATGTCCCATTAGAGGGCTTGAATTACAGTCTTCTCTAGCGAGCCATTCTTGCGGAGCCTCATCATTTTGCCTAATAATTTCACACAGAGAGTCTTTAAACTGCAAACAACTCCACAGGCCCTTCATACGGGACCAGGCCTAGGGTTAGGAGATGGTACAAACTTGCAACCAGATCTGAGCCAGCCGTCTAAGCCCAACAAGAATGTGAGTCTCGCTCATTGGAAGTTAAAGATAGAGGCGACACATGCTGGATCCTGACGGGCTCTTATTTCAGTCGGCTGCCAAGAACTCTATGGGCCGCTTTTGTTGATTCAACCTGACGAAAAGCATTATTAAAAGTTGTGGACTCGTTGTGGTCGCTCATAAATAAGCAAGAAGAGGACCATGGTGCTTTCCGAAGGGTATCTGCTTTGGGTTCTTTCTGTGTTTTTTGTGATAGTTTGGCTCTTTTTATAGCATTAGTTTATTTAGATCTCTTCCATTTGGTTTAACATTATAGATGCGGCATTGAAACAGTGAACCAAAACACTAAATTATGCTTAATTACGCGGTGGCAGCTTGTTTATCTCTGATGTGAGTTCAATAGGGTAGATTAGTGTCCCATTACTGATGGATTAATTTTTTGCAGTGCATTCTGGATATTTTTCACATCTGCAGGTGAATTTGATGTCGATGGCTGGATGTGTAGCGCTTTGTCCCCATGTTGTGCTGAACTCTTGGATCTCTAGGATTGTGATTGAACATTCCTTAAAGTTAACTGAGCATTCAAAGCTTTGTGAAGGAGGGAGTTTAACATCTCTAGTAGATCAACTTCACGGTTTAATCCAGGTGCAGTTTTAAAGAGGAGGGGGAAACCTTCCTTAGAGCAAATTAAAAGCAATTTTTGTCAGTTTTTATAAGATGCAATCTTTCTAAGTGCATGTAATTTAAGTTCATGATGGTAAAAACCAATTTACTAAGACATTGGTTGCATTTCTACAACTTTTTACCTTATAAAAAAGTATTATGTCTATAAATACAGTATATACACTACCATTCAAAAGTTCAGGGTCAGCAGGATTTTTAAAAAGATATTCATACTTTTTTTCAGCAAGGATGGATTAAATTGATAAAAAGTGACAGTATAGACATTCATAAAGAATCTTGAACAAAAAAAAAATGTCTGTTTCCACAAAAATATTAAGCAGCATGATTCTTGAGCACCAAATCAACATTATTAGAATGATTTATGAAGGAAAATACAAAACAGTTATAAAACGGTTTTTACTGTATTTTTTGATCAAAAAAGCACAGTCTTGGTGAGCATAAGAGACTTCTTTTTGCAAACATTAAAAAATACCGACCCCAAACTTTTGAACAGAAGTGTACAAATCTACTGTAAAAATGTTTTTAATCAAAGTTGTAAATACAACAAAAATGATTGGAATACATTTTTAAAAGAAATATAAGAAAATACTATTTCAGTGCTTTTTCTATACCATCATACTGAATGATTGCCCCATTTATCATATACATATTTACATGAAGTATTCCAAGGAATTACCATTGTACCCCGACCAAAAACTTGGTAATGCCATAGTCCTTTTTCGTTACTGTACAATTTCAAAGTCAAGACTGAGATTAGAGAATTGAATTGTTGTAGAAATCATTTTAGCTCTATATTTGTTGTACTAGACGATACAGCTGTTGTTTCCTCGGTAAAATAAGCCAGTATTGTACTGAGTGTCACAAGGCAGTGATCTTCAAAATGTTATTTTTATCAAGGTCACAACTGGAGTCCAAAACCTGTTACTGTCTCTAAAGTGATCATAACAAAAGGTCTCCGTGGAAGAAGAAAGGGAGATAAACACATGAATTGCATCAATGAACATGTTTTTATATTAAGACAGAGGTGGGTCACAGGTCCATTCTGGTAGAGCTGCAGACAGCAGTGATGGTAAAAGTTGTACAAATGATGAATAGAATTGTGTATCGTTAGGATAACAAAGTAAAATAGTATTATCAGCTTTTAAAAGGGAGGATAAAATTCTTCCCGTATCTTTTGCTGTTGACGTCAAAGGTTGTGTGTCCAATCAAACTTTTGTTGCAAATTCATCTGCCATTTGATAGAAGTAAATCAAATTAGGCAGATGCAGAATGGGTAGTTTGTGTATTTTGCATTGTAGTTTTAGTTTTATTTTGAGAACTGCATTTTTTTCCGTCAGTCTTATAAAATATGCAGTGGAGAACTTTGAAGAATGGTGTAATACATTATAGATGTTGTTTTTACCCACAATAATAGTTAATTGACTTTGTGCAAATCTGAAGACTAATTCCTCAAAAGGTCTCATTGCAGCCCAGTTTGCCTTCACAGCTGTGGGACGCCTGTCACACTGTCCTTTTGTTTTCTGTATGTGTGATGTTTCGCAGAAAGATTGAAGAGTCAGGCCGCAACAGCAGCGCCATGGCAGACAGAAGACAACTGTTTGCTGAAATGCGTATGTATTCCTCTGTTTTACTCCATACTCAAGCTATGATAGAATGGTGAACATATTGAAAAGTTTAAAGAATTTCATACTTTTATTTGGAAAGGATGCATTAAATTGCTCAGAAGTGACAGTAAAGACATTTACAGTGTTACAAAATATCTCTTTCAAATACTGCAAATTACTGACCCCCAACATTTTGAATGGTAGTCATGCTAACAGTTCTCCAAAGGGATTTCCCTGTTGAGAAAAAACATCTTCAACCAGTCTAAAGCCCCGTTCACACCAAGAACGATAACTATAAAGATAACGATATTAGCGTCCACACCAGCGAACGATATCGTCTGTTTATTCTAAGCGCACGCTCGTCTGCCGCTTTAAATTCTCGAGCTCGTTACAGCAGGATGGATTCTGATTGGCTGTCAATTTTTTTTATCGTTCATCAGCTGGACAAAAATCGTTTTGAAAGTGATTCCAACGATATCGTTTCTCTTTGTCTTTATCGTTATAGTTGTGGTGTGGACCCTGCTATTCTTTAATATTGAGAACGATTTTTAGAACTATATCTTTATCGTTATCTTTATAGTTATCGTCCTTGGTGTGAACGGGCCTTAAGGTGGTCTTTTAACCTAGCCAAGCTGTTTAGTCTAGTCTGTTTTGCTGGTTATAGAGGGGTTTTGGGCTTTTGACCACTGGTCAAAGCCACCTAAACAACACCTTGACCATCTTAAACCAGCTAAGATGTCTTTGGCTGATTTAAGCTGTATGTTTGGACATGTACGTTCATTAGATGTGATGTTTTCATCTCACAGGTGCACTAGATCTGGACTCTATCAGACTGTCCACATACAGGACAGCATGCAAGCTGAGATTCATTCAGAAGAGGTGCAATTGTAAGTATGCAGGTGTTTTAGTATTTACTGTAATTTTATGTTTTGAAAATGATGCAATTCCATTTGCCAATTGTTCTTTGCTTCTTGCAGTGCATTTGGTGGATATCTGGAATATTATAGAGGTTTTCCGGGAAAACAGACTCCACTCCATGGACCTCAACACAGAGTTCTCAGTGTCACATTTGCAAGCAATTCTGTCCACCATCTTTTACCAGCTAAACAAGCGCTTGCCCACAACCCACCAGATCAATGTAGACCAGTCCATCTCGTACCTCCTCAACTTCCTGTTAGCGGCCTACGACCCGTAAGAAACCCTGCGGAGTTGCCTTAAATCTGTCTGAATGTATGACATATAGTATTCACATTTCTTTAAGAGTAGAAAGAAAAAAGTTCATTTGAAGCTTAATTTCCTGTATATGGCAGCTTTCATGAGGACTCTTCATAATCTTCACTTGAATTGCTAAATGTGACCATCTAAATGTGTTAGTTGACAGTTGTGTCTTTTTCTAGGGAAGGAGTGGGAAAGATCTCGGTTTTTGTGGTGAAGATGGCCCTGGCTGCTCTCTGTGGAGGGAAGATTTTGGATAAACTAAGATGTAAGTTTCACTTTGGATTTGCCTTTGAACTGATGTGTGTTCAATGATTTGATGCTGATTAATGGGCGCTTAAGTGAATGGACTCGATTAATCATTCTATCATCATTTTAAAGGTCAGAGCAGCTGTCATTACTTGAAAGTCACTTCTAACCATGAGGCATATTCGCCTCTCATGACCTTGTCAGTGTAGCTAAAACTTCTCACCTCGTTTCTGGTGAATTATTTCTAGTAATGACACTTTAGACTTACAAAACTGTTCAAAAGTTTGGGGTTGGTAAGAAATAAACTTTTAAATAAATTTAAAGTCTCTTATGCTCACCAAGGCTGACACTGGAATTTTTTGATGCATAAAAAGAACATTTATTTGAAATAAATTTGAATTTGTAACATTGCAAATGTCTTTGCTGTCACTTTTGATAAATTTAATGTGCCCTTGCTGAATGAAAGTATGAGTTTCTTTCAAAAAATAAATGAATAAAATTGAACAGTAGTGTAAATGCTGATATTTCGTTGAAGTACTAAAAATTTCTAGATGTTAAATATTGTGTACAATTAAGAAGTTGTTTCCTACCTGCCTCATGCTATGCTACCTGTATCGAGTATAACATAGTTTATTTATAAAAAATGAAATTGATTGCTTGCCTTTTTTCCTCAAGATGTATTTTCACAGATATCAGACCCAAACGGAGTGATGATATACTCACAGTTCGACCACTTCCTAAGAGAGGTACTGAAACTGCCCATGACGGTTTTTGAGGGACCGTCTTTTGGCTACACTGAGCAGTCCACAAGAACCTGCTTTCCGCAAGAGGTTTGAGATGACTTTTAATAATAAAATAATAATAATAAAATAATTTATTATTTATTTAAGCCGTCGGACACAACCATTCAAAATTTATTTTTTTATTTTTTTTATTAGTATTAAAATGAATAATGATTCATTATAAACAATAATGATAATAATAATATAAATTATTCAACAAGGATGCATTATATTGATCTAAAGTGACACTAAAGACATTTATAATATTACAAAAGATTTATATTTCATATTAGAATGATTTCTGAAGGATCACTGAAGACTGGAGTAATGATGCTGAAAATTCAGCATGGCATCACAGGAATATATTACATTTTACAATATATTACAATAGAAAACAGTTATTTTAAATTGTAGTAATATTCCACAATATTACTGTTTTTTTACTGCATGTTTGATCAAATAAATGTAGCCTTGGTAAGCATAAGAGACTTCTTTAAAAAAACATGAAATTATCTTACGGACCGCAAACCTTTGAATGTTAGTGTACTTTTTTTTTGCATGGAGGACAATACAACAGGTGAAAAGTTTCACAGTAAGCAAGACTTTACAAGTAAGCAAAACCCTAGCAAGCATGCAGTTGCAAATAGCAGCGGCCTTGCAATCAACAGCAAGCACCATTCACAATTTCTTTAGAAAATGTAAAAAGCAAAACTGTTTTTCTCTTGTACGCACAAGAGACTGCTTTACTAACTGCTGTCCTTCCTCAGAAAAAAGTCTCGCTCAATGTGTTTCTTGACACGTTCGTGTCGGATCCTCCTCCTCAGTGTCTGGTTTGGTTACCGCTGATGCATCGGCTGGCAAATGTTGAGAACGGTGTGCTTTAAGCATGTTTATTTCATTTTTGTAGCAAACCATACATAGGCTTAGCAATATGTTAGTACTTCCTTCAGCCATTCATAGCCTAAATGAATGACAAATATTGTGACCACATTCAATTAGTAAAGTTGACTTGATTTTGCTCCTCTCTTCTCTAGTCTTCCATCCTGTGGAGTGCTCCTACTGCCACAGCCAGAGCATGATGGGATTCCGCTACCGGTGTCAACAATGTGATAATTATCAACTCTGCCAAGAGTGTTTCTGGAGGGGCCATGCCTCGGGCAGCCATAGCAACCAGCACCAGATGAAGGAGTACATGTCATGGGTAGGTGAACGGCCATGTGGGAACGTGACTGTGAGGAAGTGTCAGTGACTGCACGAGTCCTGTCATCCAAACAGCCTTTAGCCTTTGACAGTGTATGCCAGAAATCACAGTCAAATCACTTTATGCCTTTACACTAAATCTAATTTGAACTCTGAGCATTGAATTTGCCACTTTGGTAGCATTTACTTTTTATTTTTCTAAAGTACTTTTAGATTTTAGTCAAAGTCACTTGTGTTTGGGAAGATTTTTTTCATGTTTTTGAAAGAAACGCTCAGCAAGGCTGAATATATTTGATCAAAAATGACAGTAAAACAGGAATATCATGAAATATTATTGCAATTTAAAATAACTGTTTTCTATTTGAATATGTTGTAAAATGTAATTTATTCTTATGATGCAAAGCTGAATTTTCAGCATCATTACTCCAGTCTTCAGTGTCACATGATCCTTCAGAAATCATTCTAATATGCTGATTTGCTGGGCAAGAAACATTTCATGATACTTCATGATACATTTTTTTCAAATTTTTCTGATGATAGAAAGTTCAAAATAGCAGCATTTATTTGAAATCTAAATCTTTTGTAACATTATTGTCACGTTTGAGCAATATAATGCGTCCTTGCTGAATAAAAGTATTAAGTTCTTTTAAAAAATCCTACAGATTGCAGTCTTACAGGCAAATTAAATATGCAAAAATTGCTGAAAATAAATACACACTTACTTTACACAGTATTTACAAAAAAAGGTAAATAAATTATTTTACATTACCATTTTCTACCCTGTCTCTGACTATTATAATTAAACATATTATTTGTTACTGTACCTTTAAGACCTCTATATGTAAGTAATCCCTATTCTATGAGTATTTCTCCATAAACATGTGAATATCACAAAAAAATATGGTTCCATTAAACATATTCATGGATATTTTTATAAATATTTTTTCCTCTGGTTCAGTACAGTCCTTTATTTTGCTCCAGAAATCTCCAGCTAAGAAGTTGTCAGACGCTCTCAGTAAATCTCTGAGTTGTGCCTCCAGTCGAGAGCCTCCTTACCCGACGTTCTTCGAAACGTCCGAGAAACCACTCAACCTCACTCACGTTATGTATGTAAACTCAGACAGCACCATATCCAACACATTTTGCTCGAATAATCCTCTTAAGTGTAAAATGACTGAGTGTATTACACTGAATGTAACATAAATTGTGCATGCTAACATTGTCTTGCGTTGTGTTTTTGCTTTTATGCTGCGAAACAGGGACACATGGTAAGTAAAGTGAGATGAAGAGTTATATATTCTCATGTTATATGATTTCACAATATTTCGATGGGGGAAAACTAATCTTAGACACATTGATATGTTTGACACTATGCAGACAGACACACTGACACCCTTTTATCGCAGTGCCTCAATTATTGTTTGCATTTGCTCCAGGCCTCCCAGACCTGTGACCAGTGGAAATGAATACATACTCTCTCACTCCATGCCTTCCTCAGGAAACCCTTACTCCAGCAAAACGTGAGTCTTTATAGGAGTATGTTTACAAGCATAAAGCTGAGCTTAAAGCATTCAAGTCTTTTTTTTGTCTGTTATGCTTTTATTTGTATGTTCGGTAAGACAGGCTGCTATTAAACTAAAACTATTACTATTTTGTTAAATAAAAAAACTGAAATAGAATAGATTATAAATATTGTATACTTAAATGAAAATTAGAAATATTTTCTTGGTAACTAATTGAAATAAATACGTTGAAGTTGAAGTACTAAAAATACATAAATTAAAACGAAAAAAAAAAAGTCTTAAAGGGTTAGTTCACCCAAAAATGAAAATTAGTCTGCGTTTTACACACCCCCGAGGCATCCTAGGTGTATAGGACTTTCTTCTTTCAGACGAATCCAGTCGGAGTTATATTAAAAATTGTCTTTGATCTTTCAAGCTGTTTCATGGCACTCAGTGGGTGTTGCATTCCTTCAGTCCAAAAGACGTGAAATAAAAAGCACCCTTCCATAAAAAAAAGTGTCTCACACGGCTCCGAGGGATGCGTTTTTGTAAGAAAAATATCCATATTCAAAACGTAATAATCACTTTAATCTAGCTTGCGCTCACTGTTGTAAACTAAGCAGTTCCAGGCGGATGATGTATGAGGTCGGCGTTGCGCATGCGTGTCGTGAAGACCAATGTTTGTTTACAGGAGCAAAGGAAGCAAAGTTTCCTTACTACTAAAAAATTTTGGGTGAACTAACCCTTTAAAAATTACAATTACAGCACTAAATTACAATTACAAAAGCACTAAAACTTAAAGAAAACTGAAATAAAAAAAAATGAAAGGTAATTCAAAATATTATTAAATACTATAATAGTATAGAAATGCTACTAAAATACAGTAACTGCTGTAAACATGTTCTGATCCCTTTGTGGTGTGTTTTAAACATGTTTGTGTAAGTATACATGTGTTGCCTATTAATTTGTTTTATTATGTCTCATTTTGGGGGTAAAAAGAGGTGCTCACGATGAGACGAAGCAAATGTTTTCCCGGACGACCCCAGATCTTTTAAAAGGGAAAGGGTAAGTCAACTTGGATGAAATAATGTCACTATTATCTGTTGTAAGCGCAACAAGCGTGTAAAGGAATAACAAGAAGTAAAGATCATCTTGTAATGGGATACATGGGACTGTTTTGAGTAGAGTAGCAGATGAAAACAAGGCTGTGAGGGATTGAAGTACAGCCCGTTTAAGGTGTTTTACGGTTTTGTCCCTGATTGGCTTTGGTTCAGACAAAAAAATGTTGAGAATATGTCCTTTGTCCATTGCAAATTTATAAAAGACTAATTTGGATTGTACTTCCATCCCACGCAACCCAATTCCATTTGCATCAAGTTAAAGGAATAGTTCACCCAAAAATGAAAATTAGCTGAAAACGTACTCACCCTCAGGCCATCCAAGATGTAGATGAGTTTGTTTCTTCATGGGAAAAGACTTGCTCACCAATGGATCCTCTGCAGTGAATGGGTGCCGTCAGAATGAGAGTCCAAACAGCCGATAAAAACATCACAATAATCTAGTCCTTTAATTATCTTCTTGTCAAGTGAGAAGCAGCATGTTTGTAAGAAACAAATCCAGCTGTTTGGACTCTCATTCTGACGGCACCCATTCACTGCAGAGGATCCATTGGTGAGCAAGTGATGTGATGCTAAATTTCTCCAAATTTTTTCCTGATGAAGAAACAAACTCATCTACATCTTGGATGGCCTGTATGTTTTCAGCAAATTTTCATTTTTGGATGGACTATTCCTTTAAATATGTCATCTCAACTCTAACTAAAGTCTATTTGCATTCTGTATTATTATTAATGCATTCAAATAATGCATAATTGTATAGTGGAATCGTAAGTAGATGAGAAGATAAGATCGTGAGATGTTTTTTTAGACCCCATTATTTTTCATCTCATCTGTGTTTGTGAAACATGGTTTCAGGGTTCAGTACAGCCTCGATATTGCGGATAGGCTCGCTGATGAGCACATACTTATCGGCCTTTATGTGAATCTCCTCCGAAAGGACCGTTCATGGTCAGTGTGAGCTGTCGGTCTGCTGAGGTTGCTGTGGCAGTTTTCTTCCTAATCTGTTTTTAGAGCTCAAAGGTCACCATGTCAGTCTGGTAATACCCAGAATTCAGTGTAACATTGTTAATGTCAAACTTATCATTTGAGGAAACAATGGAGGTTTTTCCACAGTTTCAATGTATCTAATATAATCTCTGCATTTTAGAAAGGACACCAGATGTGGGATGGTGACTATTCTGGCCACAGTGCTGTCTTATGTTTGCAGCTTGCTAAGCTTCTGTTGTGTTTAAGCAGTGTATTTACTCTGTGTTAAACATATTACATTTCACTGCCATAGAGCGCAGCGGACTGGAAGTAAAAATGCCCTTCATTTTCCCCATAGAGAGATTTACTTTTAGAGCTAATGTATTAACGTTTCAGTACAGAACTACCTTGAGCTCTGAGGGTGTATAGTGATAAAATATGCTTCTATAGAGCTTCATATGCTTCATATTTAATTACTGAACTCCCAGTGAAGAACTACACAACCTATAATCCTACACTATCCATAATTCACCAATCAGAGAAGTTGCTGTTGTACAATATAAGTTTTATAAATGCATAAAAATAGTGTTTTAAACTCATAGACTTATAATCTATATATTTATATTTTATTTTAATTATGTCATTCAAAATAGTAGATAATGGTGTTAGCAACACCAAGGTTATGGGCTTGATTCCCATGGAATGCATGTTGTCAATGCAATGTCACTTCAGATACATTTATAAATATAATATTCATGGAATGAGAAGTCCCTTATTATTGTATTTGCATGTACTTTTTTTTTCAGATTTTCATGCATTTTTGCTACAATCACATGTTGCTATGATTCTCTTGAGAGTGTATTTGTTGGGTTCATGGATTTTTAATTGACTATGGTGAAAATTAATAGAAAAAATACATCCAAAAAAAGTGCCGTTCACTGTAGCGCTCTATTGCACCAGATGTATGAACACAATAGTTCAACATGAGAACTATTAATAGCATCCCTCGCTTATTAAATAAATACTGCCAACTTAAATGAATCCATCCCAAACTCTAATTTGCCCTCTAATTCTAAAGACAAACATTTTTATGGACTCCTTTGGAATAATATTTTGTTCCCATCCATTATTCAAATAGTGTGTAAACTTCTAATTTGATTAACATATGACAAATATATGATTGATTATTATATACGTGTCTTTTTGTGTGTGTGTGAATTTTGTGTAGAAGTGCATGTAATTTTTGGGAAGATTTGTGTCGATTTGATGTGCAAGAGCAGAAAATACACAATAAATTATCCATTTTCGGCTTGGCAACTAGTCTTTAAACAAGGACATGATTATGATGGATCTCAGAGTCACCAGTATCTCTGAATGAACCGGTTATCTTTGGCTACATGTTTCATTTGTTTTCTCGCTAGGCAACATCCTTAGCTATGGTTGTGTTTCCCAGCAAAGATTTCTGATATTATGATTATCCTTGCTTTGCTCTTAACCTTGCAGTGCTTTTTTGGGAAACTGGGGCTCTGTGGTCTTCATGATTTGCTTAGATCCTGAAATGTGTTTACATGTGCTGGAAATTCTATCATTTCTGTGATTAGGACAGTACTGGTGGATAAGTTCTCTAAAATGATGTTCTTTTGATTCATAAAGGCTATTTTTACTTCCTTAAGAAAAATACAGTTGGTAAAAATGTGCATTTTAAAACACACAACAAAGTTTTGTAGCTCTATCCTTCATGCATTTGTGTTAACTGTGTGTTAACACACAAATGCAAACACACACACGGTTAGCGCAAGAAAGCAACAAAACTTTGTACAGGATGAATGGCTGAACCACTAGTTTGTTTACTTTCTATGCTTGAGCTTTGCATAGGCTTCTAATGGCTATATATAGTATATATAATGTTACAGTAAGTTCTTTTGTCATTCTGAACCGGTAACTATAAAGATGACCGAGCTCCACCCTTTTCTGTGATTGACAGTTTCCAGGAGAGCTGTAAAAACCAAGATGATGAGCACTTCCTCATTGCCCGTTACGCCTCCCGATTGGCTGCTGATGGAGCTGCAGTGGTAAGACAGCCAATCAGAGCACTTGCTCAGAGAAACATTCTATTATTCTTAATTATTATTATTATTACACTTCTTCTTTAATTATTATGAATATGTGCAAATAAATTCATGTAAACAACTCATTAACCTTATATACAACCTGACAACTGTGAACAGAAGACCAGAGTCCCGGCAGACATCTCTCTCTGTCTGGACTCCAACAAACAGCAGCGACAACTTATTGCCGAGCTAGAGAACAAGAACAAGTGAGTTTGAGTCTGTTTATTTTAGTATTGCAAAGTGACTTTGAATTAGCATTCTTAAAATTAATAAATTGTGTGTTTTCAGGGAGATTTTGCAAGAGATCCAACGCCTGAGGCAACAACATGAAGAAGCTTCCCAGCCTCCGTTAGACAAAAGCCAACAAAAGCCAACGTTACTGGCTGAACTGAGACTGCTCAGGTAAACACCTGCGTGCACACACACAGCGTACAGCCGTGAATCAGACCTGAAACCTGATCGGATGTGGTGAACAACAGACGCTGATGGTTATGAGATAGACAGCATTGAAAGTGAGTGTAACCTGATCATGAATGAGTGAAAGCACTTTAAAAGCAATTTGCAACACTGAGGCTCCTTCCTGTTTGTGGACATCACCAGTTCAGATTTGAATGGAGAACTGAGCTAAGCATGGATATTTAAATAAGGTCTAGTCTTTTGGTTCCCAATGTTTACTGTGGTTTCATTCTAGCAATATTAATTGTAGTAACATGATATTTTGGTACTAGAGTCATATTAAACAATTTATTAGGGAAGTGCTTTGTGTGGCAGTTTTGGTTTCTAAATGTGTTTTTATTACTATTTCCATAATAAACACTATAGTTTGTTTTATAAAAACCATTATTCCATTTACGGAAATTAGATTTGACCTATTATCGATAGTCTTCTGCAAATACCACAGTTAAGAATATGATTCCCAGGGAAGAACTATGGTAAATATTTATTTGTATATCCTTACACACCAGCTTTGTTTCCTAAATGTGTTTTTATTTCTATTTTCATAGGAAACACCATAGTTTGTTTTAAACCATTATAATATTTATGGAAATTAGATTTTAGCTGTCACCTATTGATAGTCTATTGCAAATACCACAGTTAAGAATATTATTCCGTTCCATGGTCAATTTTTATATTATGGTCAATCATTTTTATATCCTTACCCACAAGTTTTGGTTTATAAATTTGTTTTTATTACTATTTTCATAATGAACATGATAGAGGGTTTTGTAAAAACCATAATTACATTTTTAGAAATTAGATTTTACCTGTAAATAAAACCTACTGCAAGTACCATGTTATAGAATATGGTTCCCAGGGAAAAATTTGACATTTGTATATTTTTTTATATTTATACATTTATTTTTATATTTTGTAATATTCATTTTTATGTGTTTTATGTTGTTTTTATATATTTTTACACACCTGCTTTTAATGATTGGCATTTCTTTAAAGTAGAAAACATCTGATACAAACAGATTGGGTGAATTGTGGGTGTTATGTGGCATTATGTATCTTATTCATAAACTATCCATAAACTGACTTAACCAGGCATTGCTTGCCTCTACACCCTACAAACTGTGTTCAGCACTGGTTGTGTGGGTGTGTTTACACCATTACCTAATTTGTATAATTTATTTAATAAATATGGTGGTAAATAGCACATGAAAATAGGGTCAAAAATCTGGTTGTTTATGGATCCACAATTCATTTTTGGTTAATGTTGAAGTTATATTGATAACAGCATGGCTTTCTTTGTCTGATTGTGTCTCAGGCAGAGGAAGGAGGAGTTGGAGCAGAGGATGTCGGCCCTTCAGGAGAGCCGTCGAGAACTCATGGTCCAACTAGAGCAGCTCATGCTTCTGTTAAAGGTGAAGATCACACACAAAAACACAACAAATGAGGATGACACGATTTTAAAAAGTTAAATTCAGAATGTAGAAATGCAGAGTTCCATGTTAACAAGCTGAACTGCTCCATCTACAGGAAGAAGAGCTAAAAAGAGCCGTAAGTCTCAGAGTCTAGTAACAAAACTGCGTGTTAATATACTTCAGCTGATTTGAGATTAACTGTATGTTGTGTGTTTGTTCTTCCTAATATTAAACTTGTGAAATGTTTTGTGTTGGTTGTGTCTTTGGTATCCAGAACTTAACATTTGTTCATTTAGCATAACACAAATCTGTTAGACAGACTACATTTGAGCATGTCAATTACATACTCTAATTCTTCTTTATCAGTTTTTGAACAAACTAATACATTTTGATGTGTATTATTATTTTCATTGTTTGTGCTGTTGACGTGAATGATTGGCAAAAAATGGCAAAAACAAAACAAAAAACTGAGACTTGTGAGCTTACACTTTTGATCACCAATAACACCAATCATTTTTAAGAATTTACTTATTAGACCATTTACCTGCAAAATGACATTATGTAATGTCTGTTATCATTCATTAATTTGCTAATCATTATTTAATTTACAAAGATTTGACTTTATGTAATTTATATGTTTTGTCACTCATTCAACCACTATGGGCAGTTAATATTGTGGGATTTTTATGATGAAGTTGGTGTTAATTCAGTGTTATTTTTATACTATTATGAATATTTTTAATTAGCCTTTTAATGTATTTAAGTTTTTTTTAGCTTTTGTCATTTTTTAACATTTCTATTTTGTTTTAAATTATTTATTTTAGTACTTCAACTTCAAATTATTTTCTTTCAGTTAGTTGCCAAGGCAATATTTCACATTAAACTTAAATTTTTATTTTTCAACTCAACTTTAAGTAAGCTTTTCATCTAATGTTTATATTTAATTTAATTGCAGCGTTATTTCAGTTAATGAAAAGGATTTTTAATCATTTTAGTTTTATTAACAATAACAGCACAGGTTTAGCATTACATTTGTGTTATCTCCTGATAATCTCCTTTTGTATCCTAGAACCAGGGCCCTGGCCCCTCCCCTCGCTCCTCCCCCAGCCACACCATCAACACATCCATCCAATCAGTGTCCGGCAATACCACACCCATCCCCATGCCCGTCCAATCAACATCCAGCAATACCACACCCAGTCAGACACCTCAGGACTCGCTCATGGGCCTGGGAGGAGAGGTGCAGCAGGCCTTCGCTCAGGGTAACAAACATGTTCCCCTTGTGTTTTCATGAGTTTCATACATTCAACCTGCCCTGACAAAATAAAACAAGGGTTAAATACACCGGAGAGTTTAAAAAAAAAAAAAGATTAAATACACCGGAGAATATAAAAGCACAAATGTGAGATTTGTATTTTTGTTCAAGCATTTAAATGAATTATGCAGCAAAGTAATTATTTTGGAATAAGATTGCTTTTCTAGATTCTGTTTATTTACTATTTCAGTGGTAACCAACAACTAAATCTCATTGAACCCAAAATCATAATTTAAACTGAGAAAACCATACCTTTTTAATATATTAAATAAAATGATTACATTTTTAAGTAGCAACTATTAAATAATAATAAATTATATAATTTAATAATACATATTATGCTACTCGTCATAAAAATGTAATTAAATCAATGATTTTGAAAGAAGTCTTATGCTCACCAAGGCTGCATTTATTTCCTTAATAATACAGTAAAAACAGTACAATTGTGAAATATTATTACAATTTCAAATATCTGTTTTATATTTGAATATACTGAAAAGTGTAATTTATTTTTGTGATGCAAAGCTGAATTTTCAGCATCATTACTCCAGTCTTCAGTGTCACATGACCCTCATTCTAATATACTGATTTTCTGCTCAAGAACCATTTCTGATTATTATCAACATTGAAAACGCATTTATATTTATTTAATATTATTAAATATGAAATAATTTTACTTCTTTATTAAAGGCTCCAGAAGGAACTTCAGAAATGATCTCCTGGTAGCTGCAGACTCCATAACCAACACAATGTCTTCATTGGTGAAAGAACTTAACTCAGGTAATATCGAATTCATACACATACTCGATTATAATTATAGAATGAGTCATTCTCTGATGTTCAAACTTTGCCTTCAACCATGTTTAGAGGCGGGGAGTGAAACAGACAGCATCTCTGACCTCACGTTCCCAACATCAGACGTTCTCCATGCCAGGAGCTCTCCAAGATCAGGGTAACAAGAACTGGACTGAAACAGCTGCTGTTTTCACCTGCTACCTGCCGAATCACGTGTTGTCCAGATCTCCTGGGTGCGTGTTTACAGTGTTTCTGGTCTCATAGGGCAGCAGGTAAGCTGGAGTCTGGGGATTTCTATGGACATGATCTGGAAAAGCAGCTGAACAGAGAGCTGAAGATGGAACAGGACAAGAACGTCCTGGTGAGACACTTAAACAAAAAACCTTCTTCTAGGGGATTTCAAAGCAAAAACAGTAATGCAGAAGTAAGATCAGCTTCTGTCCAAACGAATATATGTGTACCAGAGCAGAGTTTTGCATGTGAAACACTGGAATATGCATATGACTGAACCAACCATCATTAGTCATTGTTTTACTCCTATTTATAATCTTTGCATTATTATGCTGCTAAACAGTAACAAAATTAGCATCTTAATACAATGAGAATAAGATCAAAGAATACTGAAAGGAATGTTTCACTTTTTCCAACAAAATATGAAGCAGCACAACTGTTTCCAACATTGATAATAATAAATGTTACTTATGAGCAGCAAATCAGCATATTAGAATGATTTCTGAAGGATCATGTGACACTGAAGACTGGAGTAATGATGCTGAAAATTCAGCTTTGCATCACAGGAATAAATTACATTTTTAAAATATAGTGCAATAGAAAACGGTTCTTTTAAATTGCAATAATTTTTCACACTAGTACTGTTTTTACTATATTTTTGATCAAATAAATGCAGCCTTGGTGAGCATTTTAATGCATTAAAAACAAAACATATTTTTGCCTTTAAATGAAATGATACATGCATGTAACAAGTGGTTTATTTTTAAGATAAAAACCCCAGAAAAGATAAATAATATATCCAATGTTTCTGTATTCGCACCCATGTATTGTCATCTGCCCCAAAGCCATTTTTAAGCAGCAAACTTTGGATGAATGTTCTGGGAAATATGCCACCGGTGTGTCACAAGTGCACTGCATCGCATATCAATTTTGATTTATTTTTAATTGCTATAGAAATGAGATGAAATAGAAAAGAAATATCCATTAAACCAAATGGATATTTCATTGTAATGAACATATCCCCAGGCTGCTTCCAGGCACCTGTTTTTGAGTGGCGAGATGATGTTCATTTTAACCGTGCATCTGTACTGCTGCATGCAACGTGCCACAACTATTACCCCAAATTCCTTCCATGTCATGTATGGTATCAGGTCATTTTAGCGTGGTACGGAAAGCCTTATGAGGAACACTCGAGCAATTCTCAATTCTGTTTTTTCCAGGTGACTTTACAAGAATAGCTGCGTTTTAATAAGCAATGGTAAGTATTTTTCAGTTGAGCTGTGACTGATGCAATACAACAGTGTTTGATGGTTCAAATGAAGGTTTTCTCTTTGTCTCATCGCAGGGAGGAGGATCGAGCGACTCTGAAGCACTGTGCAACCAGGCCTGAGTTGGAACATGCCACACTTCTGAAAAGCATCAACAATACTGTGGTACACAACCCAATCTATAAATATAGAAATATATTTTTAGAATCTACAAGATGTTTTAAGACAAAACTGTGAACCGATTTTGGAAATGACAAATAATGGAACTGTCTACAACACCGCCAGTGCCATAAATCCAGTGATTATGAGATTATTTAATTTCCTTGGTGTTAATGTGTTTGGTTCGGTTTATTTCTGTGTGTATCTGTTCAAACTTGTACTATATTTAAATATCTGTTGGGTGAAGTAGGGGTGATCTTTACTGAAGCTGCTATCTTTACAAACGACACTTTTATTGTACATTAAGAGCATAACAGCCTGACCTGATGCTATTTAAAGCATATATACATATATAAAAAGAGTAGGATTATGTTGTAGTTTCAGTTTCTCTTTGAAGGATTTGAGATTTTCTCATAGTGTTTGATACACAAATACACTGCCTTAGTTTATCAGACTCCGTTTATTTTAATAGATGGATAGGTATGTGTACTTTGTTGCAATTTGTTAATTTTTCAAGACATACATTTTAATTAATAAGAACAGTCCAGAAACAGGTGAATCTCATATATGTCACCAGTTCTTTTTTCCACTGTTATTTTAACATTTACGTTTTTTTGTAGGTTTATTTAACTTTATTTGTAATAAATTCCCAAAAATAAAAATGTAATATGTTTTGCATAAAGAAAATAAATCCTGTTTTTAAGAACATTTCTATTTCTCACATTGTGACAATTAAGCACAACTTTGTAATACAATGTGTTTATTTAAATCAGCCTAATAATTTATTCATGATATATACATATATATATATATATATATATATATATATATATAT